AAATGGCAGTGGCAGCACCAAAAAGAGCATCGCTGAAGTTCCCGTCGAGGTGATATGTCCTCCCTCCAGGATTTTCACTTCATCCGCACCACTCCCAAGCCTACATGGCTGCCTCCCTCCGTTCCCTTTGCATCACCTCTTATGCGCCTCGCTTCCGCTCGCTCAGCCCCCTCTCCACTTGCCTCTTCTCCCTCCTTGTCCTGCTCCCCTTCCCGCCTCACTCCTGCTGTCGTGTCAACCATTTCAAGTCTGAGCTCGCAGCCACAGTCGTTTGAATCCGTGGCACTCGCTGCTGTTTTCGGGCGGCTGAAGCGCCTCTCTCTGGTATCGTGCTTCTGTCAGAAGGAGGAGGAGCTGGTGATGCTGCTGCATGCATGCCCCCTATTGTTGGCTCTAACAGTTGAACGCAACGATGACTTTTCGGACCGGGTAGTCGCAAGAATAGATTTGCAGATGCTCACGCATCTGACTATGCTCGAGTGTGATGCGATTAGTGCAGATGGGAGTGGAGGGCTGCTGGGAAGCTTCCCGAAGTTGCGTGATTTGAAGGTGAATGCAATAAAAGTTGGCGAACGGGCTCGTAGGGAGTTGCTTCGTGCGGGTATGGTTCTAAGCAATGGGCGATAGAGTGGAGGGGTGAAGCATGTGTATCTCTTTTGCTGTATTTTATCTGGAATAAGTTGAAAGTGGAATGGAATTATTTCCTTATATATTGGATGGAGGTGCAGCGTGACAGCATGAGTGAAAATTCGTATGAAGGCATGTGCTGTGTGTCTCCAATCAGAACTTGAATGAGAGACCTCTTGATGAAAGACACTATGCAGTATATGCACCATAAGGTTACGTGGAGTGTAGTTTTTTGAATGCCAGGTTGCATCCTTGGGCCATGGCAGACTCAGAAGTCATCTGTCGTGGCTGTGGCTTCGGCTGGCGTGTCACTTTCGAATCAACCGCGTCAGCGATTGGGTCCAAAATGCATGGCGAACTTCGTCAAATCGATTGCTTTGGTCTCGCATGCTCATAGGGAACTCCAGTCCCGTGCCTCGTCAGTCATCTCGCTGACCTGGATTGGCTGAAATCAAGGCTGCCAATGTCAGTGCGCGTGCGCATGCCCGCATTGGCAGACCCATAATTTGTTTGGCGCGCATGGAAAGATGCCAAGGCGCATCTTCAAGAACGCCCGCCCTTGCCCCACTCCCACTCAACTTTCCCCAACCACGCACATCAACAAAAACAACCAGCGCACTTCACGCCACGCCACTTACGCAACCTGAGCAATTCCGCACCGCGCGAGAACTGTATCATTGCATTCAATGTCAAACCGCATTGGCCGCAATTTCCGACGTGGCATTCCAAGCATCTGGCGAATGGGAATCCTCGCAACCAGTTCACGGGCGAGGTGCCTCGTACGGTTGGTATGGACGCATCAAGTCCACATTTTATCCAATCCGAAGCAAGCGACTCAAAGAAGCCTGGATTCCGGGCAGGATTCCTCGACCTGGAAATTGGATGACGCAACGTTATCCACATTTTCTGCCCCCGTCATGGAGTGCTGAAAGGCACCTGTCTCCTAAGCACACGTGTCACCATCAGCGTGTCATGTCAATCAGAATCAGGGAGGATTCTTCAGGTACGGTATCAACGCGCATGCACTTTGGTGCTGCAGAGCGTGGTGGAATCTTGAATTGAAAGGTCGTTTTCGGTTGGTCTCTCTGTCTCCCTCAGCGGCAGCCATGGATTTTACCGCTGGTCAATGTCTGTCTGACACAACATAACCCGCATAAGGAATCAATCGGTTCCCTGAACTTCCTCTTCGCCACACACACAGCGCAGCACATACAGAAGAGCCAACTTGTGTGGTCCTGACGTTTCTGAATCAGAACCTTTCAATGTCAGCATCCCCCATTCCGTGAGCAATTTCCTCCAGGATATTCGTCCTAGTAGATGCTTCACCTCAGTTGCACTCGTCAGTCAATCTTGCACAACCTTCGTTGAAATTAAGTGGAGTTTGCTGGCACATGCATCTACGAAACCACAATTTCTGAAATTTCCTCCCAGCGTGCTCCTAAGGCAGCCTCAGAGTACGAGAGCTCGCACAGCAACAACCCCGTAGTCAAGTTTTTCCTTCAAACAGAGCACGAAACACGCATCGCCAGACCAAGTTTCACTCAGCTACTATGTCTGGTCTCCTTGACATTCTTGCCTTGGGTACCACTACATCCCTTTGTCAGACCAAAATTCAATCTTCTCTCGGACATGTCTCCCTTAGCAATAGGTTCCTTCCTCCTTTGACTAATATCACTGACACCTCACTCGCGAAGAATTCGACCGACCATACTCAACCTTCAACGATGGAAGCAGCTTTCGTCGACACTAGGAAGACTGCCGTTTATGAACTCACAACGGAGGCATCAGGATTCAGCAGCACGGGTAATTCCACGTGGGACAGTGCAGCTGGCCTTCAATTGATACGCCACGTCAGCAGCAACATCCCGTGCAGCAGCTGCAGCAGGTTTGTACTATCAAACCAGCACACAAACCCAAAGCTGCTGACATACTTTTCACTATCAGTCATTCCCGACGCGTGCTACAGCTATGCGCCCTTCCTAAATCTGTCTGTCAGCTATCTCGCATATGTCATTCTCTAATTTCTTCCGTTATTCCCGAATCTCGCTCCCGTGTCACAGCTCGCAAAGCGACTCTTCGTGCGACTCGTTTTGCCTCGACGAAATGGTCTCCGAGTTCATGGAGGAAGATAGCGACGCTCGAGACGCTGGCGACGGTTATGACTGTCGCACGAACAGTTTCCATGCTTCTCTGGCGAGGTCTGCCAGGAGATCCGATTTGGAACCTGCAGAAGCGTTGGCGGCGCTAGACGGCTCTCAACGACCATCAATAACCGGAGATGGCGAAAATGACAGTGGTGGGCGTGACTCGCCGAGATGCGTCGGCGAAAAACGGGACAACCACGTGTACGACGCTCCTGCTGATGCGTGGCGGTGTCAATTCTGCGGAGGGGCTCAGTGTGACGGTGTGGACTGCCAGCGGCATACGAGTTACAATCACCACGGCCTTTATGTGAATCAGCAACGGACAGCAAACAGTTCATGCAGCGAGATTGAACAGCTCGCATCCATGATTGAGGTCAGTGGTGCCTAGCTGGTCCTGATGCGTCTTAGAAAGTATACACAAGGTCACTGAGTCTGGTTGTCCTTTCCGAATTAGATTCAAGTATGGCTTTTCAGGGAGTCGACGCCTGTTTTCTAATTTCTGTTGTCGTTTCTGTGTGTCTCTCCATTGTTTTTTCTTTCGCGTTTCCTTTTTGTTACAGCCACTCAGCTGCTGCGAGACTCCAGAGGAATATGCAGTGCTTGATGTTGTGACTTCTGCCATGGAGCACACAGTGACCTCGTCTGCTGATCTCCGCACAAGCGGCAGCGGCAGCAGCAGCAGCAGCAGCAGTAGAATACGCAATACTGTGGTGCAGCAGTTGCGGGGTCGGGGATATGATGCTGCTGTGTGTTATTCTCAGTGGGACTACTCCAATGGCATCCCTGATGGTAAGAACTGAGTCGACCTTCCCACAGTATTCAATACTACATCCTGGTCAATTTCCACCCCTAATCAATACTTCCCACCATCCTGGTCAATTCCCCTCAACCTAGCTGCAAGTCCTCTCTTCGTCGCCTTTCACACCTGACATTTGCCAATCGTCCTCACACTACCTTTCCCTCCCTTATCGTTTGTCGTATCTGCTGGCAGGCTCGCATGAGTACTGTGACGTCATCCTTCATCCATCCACCCCACATCGTCCACCTGAGAGGCTCATTGTCGACCTCGAATTTCGGGCACAGTTCCAAGTCGCTCGTCCGACACCTCAGTACAGTTACATCTTGCAGCTGGCCCCGATTTCTTTCGTCGGCTGCCCGGACCGGTTACACCGTCTGGTGGAAATTTTGTCCGAGGCAATGCGGCTGTCTCTGCATGCCCAGGGCATGCACGTGCCACCCTGGCGCCGACACCCATACCTCTCTGCCAAGTGGACAGCCATTTACTCGCGCCAAGTCAGCACTTCTGCAGAATTTTCAGGGGATTCTGAACCATCTGCTGCTGTTGCTGCAGTCTCTGCTTCTGCCAATACATCAGCTGCTATGCCTGGTCCTGCTGTAGCCACTGCACCCAACCACATGCAGATTCCAGTACAACTGAATCCAAGGCACATGGGCTTCACTCGTGTACTCGATCATACCCGGCAGCACAGGCCAAGAGCTGCTGTGGTGGGCCTGCTGGCGAGAGGAATGAAAGAGCTGGCTCTGCACCGCCAGGCAGTGGTTTGAGGCTTCACCATGTATCCTCAAAGGCTGTCACACGTCTTCAAGTTCCACCCATGGAACCTCATAAGGCAGTCACCGCCACGCAGATTTTTGAAAATTTACCTGAAGTGACAGTCGCCATCAAGGCAGAAGATGGCCTGCACATATAGCATGGCATAGATTGCTCCAGTCTCACCTGCCCGGAGTGAGAGCTGATGCGTGCAGTTTTATCTTTGAAGGTCACTGAGGCTTCTATACAGAGCTGCGCGGACAGGGTGCCAACTGAGGTTGGGCCTGTCGTGCACTATCCAATTTTGCACTGGCTTCGATAATTCAAATTTGTATCACTGTTCATAAACATGTACCAGCATTTGTTGTTCTCTACCTCTTCAAAGGATTCAATTCAATTCTCACCCCTTGAAAGAGACGATAGATGTTCATTTGCAATGAAGAGGGGGTAGGGTGTTTGATCATATATATAATTATAATAAATTTGACAAACAAACTTAGGGTCATCCATGGACAGGTATCATGAGGCTCCTGTACATCACCCACCCACCTTCTCTTCCCGCTACGGTAAAATAAGAGGAGAAGAGCTGTTGAGCGGGGGTGAAGCTAAGTGCACTGGAGGAGTCTCATGATGGCTGTCCACGAGGAGGAAGCACCCTAAACTACACAGTAGCGAATTGAAGTGGGAAAATGAGAGCTGCTGTGCTGCTGCTGCTCTGCTGGTCCTGATCCTAGACCAGGCGTTACTGCTGCTACGGAACATTCATGCTTTGATGAATCAAAAGGTTTCTCCCCAGAGGCCGGAGACGTTCTCGAGGATCTCAAAATCGCCCAGGTCGCAGACAGAGGGCGACATTGTCGCAGGGGTCGCTAGGACGCCGCAGAAGCTGTCGCTGAAAAGCTCCTCAATGAGGGAGAGCGCGGACGGGACGTCGGAAGCGGATAATTTCTCGTTATCAACCACTCCGTTAGTACTAATAGCCGCTGCGTCCGACTGCTTCTGCAGATAAATCTCGCAATCAGCGCTCGTTGACGCGGAAGGCTCACAATTGGGAAGACGGCAAGTCTCGTCGTGGCCATTCGGCGTCACTTCCAGCGCGAGCGGCGCGAAAGGGCATTCAGACACCACCACGTTCTGCCCGACAACCTCCAAACACGCCATGTCGCCGCGGAACGCGGACAAGTCAACGGTCGTATCGCCTTCGCCGCTGTTGGCTCGCGCAACTTTAATGAGCGCCTCGGCGATGCTCTTCGCGACGGTCACGGGACGTGGGGCCGCGTCGGGAGCGTTGAGAGGGACCGTCGAGGAATCTTCGCCGAAGATCATCCGCGCCGCCATGTCGTATACGCGCACCGCTTCCTCCGCCGTCGCGTAGGAGCCCAGCCACACGCGCGTCTTGGTGCGCGGGCAGCGGATCTCCGTCACCCACCGCCCCCACTTGCGCTGCCGCACGCCCTTGAGGCGGCGGGGGAGCGCGGGGAAAGCGGCGGGGGCAGCGACGGGCGCGGGAGACGAGGGGTGAGCGGGGGAGCACGCGAGTGCGGATGAGTAACCCGGGGAGGAGAGCGGGGAGATCGGCGGAGAGGCAAGCGAAGAGGTTGTTTGGGGAGACGCGGTCAACGCGGTCAACATGGTCGGCTGGAACTCGCCGTCGAAGGTGGAAAGGACTGAATTGGGAGTAACGGAGGGCGCAGATGAAACGCCATTGAAACTAGTCTCGGAAATGCGAGCGCGCTTCTCCGGGCTGTTGGGAAGGAAAGGCGGTAATGTTGAGTCCATAAAGGTAGACGTCTTGCTATCGAGTTTGCGTTTCAGTGTTGTGGCGTCCGGGAAAAGAAGGGAGTGAGCCCACGGAGTAACGAAGTTGGGAAAGGCGGGAAATTCCATCTTATAACGTGCCGAATCAACTATAGCTAGGCTGTTTGCTAACGCTGTGGTTTTGCCCTGAAACGAAGTTCGTTGAGTTCGTTGGTGGTAGGGGAGGAAGTGGGAATTGTGAGTTCGTTTTGGAAAAGCTGATGGGTGGAATTGAAAATGTTCGTTCCTTTATGCTGGTGCTCGTTGGGGTTGGGGAGAGTACGCGGAAGAAGTGACCGTTATCGCGGAAGAGGAAAGGCTCCGCGGACGGAAGGAAGCTGGGTGGCTGTGCGTTGACGAAGAATCGTTTTACTGGCGAAACTGTTCTGAGGCAGCACGAATCGTAGCGAAGGCAGACGAAGCCAGTTGAATGCGAGACGACGGAGGCAATGGGAGGTGGCGGAAGTGAAAGCGGAGGCTCGATTGGGGGAGGACAGGGGAAGAATGAACAAGGGACGCACAAATTCAGATGCGGCTCGTAATTCTGAATGCACGCCTCGGGTGTGAACTGCGCGCTCCGCGGGTGAATTGATCCCAACATCTGTTGGGAACGCTGGAGGCCAAAAAAATAGGTTTTGTCGTAACGCTAAAAATCAGAACCTTCACCGCCCCGCCCTTACGTAAAAATCTTCCCTAGTGAGTCACTTGGGACTGGTAAGGTATGTGCTGGTGTGCCTCAAATATCACAAATGGTTTAGAAATGTATTCACTAAATACATCACTACAATGTGGAAGCTCGCGTCCCATTTTAAAATAGCAGCTCCTCTCATGCATTCTGATCTCATGTTGATAAGTCAATGGAGGCAATCAAGTTGGTTTGAACGTATACATTAACAATTTCGAATGCAAGAGATTTGCATTATTGTGTTGAGACTGCATATTGTAAGTAGATATTCATACCCACAATAGCTGGCCATTGTGTCCATGGCAGTATATGTGAATTCTTCCTGGCCATCCTAAACTGCATTTCGAATTGCAAGCAAAAGGTGCTCACAGGAAGCTATAGCAAATGGACCATGTGCAACGGCAGAACAATTTTATTATCAACAATAAGGAGAACACACACACAGATATACATAACAATCACCCATGGACAGGCATCATGAGGCTCCTGTACGCCTCCAACACAGCTTCCCATTCCCGATAAAGAAAAAATAGTGAAGGGAGCTGTAGAAGGTGGAGCTAAGAGCACTGGAGGAGGCTCATGATGGCTGTCCACGAGGAGCAAGCGACCCACTAATGGGTAAACACAGGTGCGGCTGTTCCCAGTAAAGCTGGGAGCTCGAGGTGTGCTGCTGCTGGCGCTGGAGATGGCGTTGCTGATGCCGGAAAGACTTTCCTGCCAAGGTCAGTCAGAACATTTCTTCCCAGAGGCTAGATACGTTCTCCAGGCTCTCAAAATCGCCCAGGTCACAGACCGAGGGCGACATCGCTGAAGGGGTCGCCAGGATGTCGCAGAAGCTGTTGTCGAAGAGCTCGTCAATAAGGGATAGCGGAGATTGGACCCTGGGAGCAGATGATTTCTCGTTATCAGCCACTCCGCTAGTAGTAACCGCCTCCGAATGCTCACGACGAATCTCTGAATAAGCGGCGTTCGTTGACGCTGCAGATTGACATTTCGAAAAGTGGCAAGTCTCGCCTTGAGCGCTCGGTGCGACTGTGAGCGCGAGCGGTGCGAAAGGGCATTCAGATACCACCACGTTCTGCCCGACAACCTCCAAACACGCCATATCTCCGCGAAACGCGGACAAGTCAACGGTCGCGTCGCCGTTGCCGCTGCTGGCTCGCGCAACCTTGATTAGCGCCTCGGCAATGCTCTTCGCAACGGTTACGGGACGCGGGGCCGCGTCGGGCTCGTTGAGAGTGACCTTCGAGGCAACTTCGCCGAAAATCATCCGCGCCGCCATGTCGTATACGCGCACCGCTTCCTCCGCCGTCGCGTAGGAGCCCAGCCACACGCGCGTCTTGGTGCGCGGGCAGCGGATCTCCGTCACCCACCGCCCCCACTTGCGCTGCCGCACGCCCTTCAGGCGGCGGGGAAGCGCAGGGGCAGCGGAATCGGCGGGGGAAGCGGCGGGTGCGGGGGATGCGCGGGGAGCGAAGGAAGAGGTGAGAGCGGATGTGGCTGTCCCGGAAGAGAGGGGGGATATCGGCGGAGAGGTGAGGGGAGAGCTTGTTGGGGAAGACGGGGCCAGCGGAGGCAAGGCTTGAAACTCCCCGTCGAAGGAGGAAAAGACTGAACTGGGAGTGGCGCAGGGCGAATACTTAACGCCAGAAAATCTAATGTCGGGAATGCGAAGGCGCTTTTCTGGGCTGGCGAGGAAAGGTGGTAACGTGGAGTCGAGAATGGTGGACGTTTCGCTATCCGCTTTGCGCTTCAGGGTTGTGGCGTCCGGAAAGAGAAGGGAGTGAGCCCACGGGGTGACGAAGCTGGGATAGGCGGGGAACTCCATATGCTAACGTACTGAACCAAACTTATCGCAGTTGTTGCGCAGTAGTCTCTAAGAATCCTAGAGTAATTTCGCTTCTGGAGAGAGTTTCGCTTCAAATTATGCTATCGTGAGCAGTAAATAGGAAAGCAATGCGAATTGGATTGGATATTTGAAAAAGCTGATGGCTCAAATGAAGAATGCTCGCCGCTTTTTATATGTGCTCGTTGGGTCGTTGGGGGGGAAGGCACGCGCAGCGAGTGACTGTCACTGCGGAAGGGGCAGGGCTCTGTGGGGGGAAGGCTGGGCGTGGATGCGCGTACGCGAAGATGCAGTGACTGGCGAAATCGAATGCGAGGCGAGGCGAGGTTTGGCGAGGATCAACGAGACCAGGCGAGACGGTGGAGGCGATGGCGGTGGGGGGAAGGTTCGAATATGGAAGGAGGGCAGCGGAAGGTGAAAAGGGATGTTACCCGTTTCGACGCGACTCGACATGAAATGCGCGCCCTGGTTTGTGACATGCGCGCTCCGCGGGTATTTTTCAGAGCGGACAAACTTGCTTTTGTCGTCTGGCGTAAAAATCGAACGATTGGCCACATGTTCTGGCGGTAACTAGAAGTTTCGTGCATTTCCGAACTTCCGTTTCCCGGGAGGCTCTGTTTACCGCACTCCGATAATGCTTTGTATGTGGTGTGAGCGTGAGCTTCACTATGAGACTTCTTTCATAAAAAACCAAAACCTAAATGACAAAGCATTTGTGTCAACATTTTCGGATTATTATGTCAACGCGCAGAAATGGTCAACCAATCAAGGGCTTGACGTTTGAGTTTGTGCCAGGGTAGAAGACTGTGCGGACTGCATCGTTGATAACACGGACCATGATAAGTTGCAGTTCCGAGGCCTTCTGCTTGAGCAAGCGGGGTGGTATGACGACGGAGCAACAACAATACGGCACCGTATATGATTGTAAAAACGTTGTTCCAGCATGTTCCACATGAATGTAATATAGTACGGCAGAAACTACATGCTTGGAATGAACAAAGCGTCATTGCAGCAAAACTCACTGCAGCAGGTTGGACTTACCCCTTGCGGTGGGTCGGCAAGAATTGGCGGTACTTGCCCAGGCTGTGTGTAGTCTCTCTTGTCAAATCGCCACACTACCTTGTCAGCTTCATCCTACGGAAGAAAGGGGAAGGGGGAATGGTGGAAGGGGGAGCAAGAAGAGTAGAAAGAAAATGAGCGGATTGAGAAATCAATGGCACTTAGCCGGGGTAAGAATGCGATATCTTCTTGTTGTCAGACCGCCTGCCTACCACTTCAGCTCTGTACTAGGAAAAGAGAGAAGTGAGGGTGAGCGAAAGGAGAGAGAACAAAGAGCAGAAAGAGAGGAGAGCCAGCGATTGTTACGTCTGCCTACTCGCGCTTGATACTTCTTAATTCCATGAAGTGTTACGCCTGCCTACTCGCGCTTGATACTTCTTAATTTCTAAAACTGTTCCTCACACAGCACGTCTTTCTGGCGGCATTGAGCTGACAATAGGCTAGGCACCCTCTCTGCGATTTTCAGGATAATCACTACAGGACATAAGAATGACATTTGAAATGTTCTGTACCTTCAAGGCCGCAGCCCCATTTGTGTCAACTACAGTTTCTTGTGTGGAGCATGATTTTGAGAGAAAAAAAGGTTCTAAGCAGTGCGATATAAACTTGAATTGACATGGAAAATAATGAATGGAATGTACCTTGAACTCGTATCCCCAAGTGTAATGAATGATGGCTGCATCGCCCAATACAGAGTCGGCTGGAGGCTGTAGGAGAGGGAGGAGAGAGAAAGGGAATGGAGGGATGCACAACAGCAAGGGGGGAGAATGCAGAGGTACATGGGGAGAACTTCGGATCCCACGTGTTATGAAGTTCTCCCGGGCACATGGCAGTCCGCCCGTGTTATGGATGGTACTGATAACTATTGAGTCGGCTCAGAAACATGGGCGGAACTTTCAATCCCACATGTTCATCATGGGTGGCTGCATCAACCAGCACGGAGTCTGGTGGAGATTGGGAAGGAAGGGATGGGAGTACTGCCATGCCATTCCATGCCATGCCACCCCATGCCATGTCACGCCATGCCATGCCATGCCATGCCATGCCATGCACATCGCACCCACCTGCACCATGATGGCAAGTGGCACCAGAGGCAGGTCGATGGGCATGTTGCCACCATGCAACGTCATGCCACCACACCATGCAACGTCATGCCACCACACCATGCAACGTCATGCCACCACACCATGCAACGTCATGCCACCACACCATGCACAGCCCCCACTCACCTGCACCAAAGCCCATCCATCTGAACCACATCCAACCCACCTGCACCATAATGGCATGTGGCACGAGGGGCAGGTCGATGGGCATGTTGCCATCATGCCGTGCCATGACCACCCACCTGCACCGCATTCCACCTACCTGCACCATAATAGCATGTGGCACGAGGGGCAGGTCGATGGGCATGTTGCCGAGAGCAGCAGCAATGGAAAAAGCATACATCTCGCGCACCCACCTGTGGTGGTGGGGGGAGAGGGGAGAAACGGGGAGACGGGAGGGAGGAAAAGGAGGAAGTGGGGTGTATGACAGTTACACAGGGAGAGCAAGGGAGATGGAGAAAGCATACATCTCGCGCACCCACCTGTGATATGGGTAGGGAGGGGAAGGGGGTGTGGTGTTGGGGGCGGAAAGACAGGGATGCAGGAAGCTGTGGGGGGGGGGTGGGGCAGTGGGATGGGAGGCAGGCCTAGGAGACACGCCGTTTGGGCAAACACAGGAGAGCCATATGTCAACCCGTCGGGAGAAGCAAGTCGTCAACCCTCTTCGTCCTTCTCGAACCACGCTGTGATGTCAACCCAAATGGGACCGACAACAACCACCCCTCTCCGCTACTACGCTCCCCTTCCCTCCCTTACTCCCCCCTCCTTCCTTTCCCACCACCCTCACGCTTTCATGCTCTAGCAACCCCCCCACCCACCCACCCGAGGTCCTTCTTGGCCTCTTCGTCCTTCTCAAAGCGGGCTGTGATGTCAACCCATATGGGATCAAAGCAAATCACCTCTCTCCTCCGGGTTACTTCCCTCCTCTCCCTTTATATACCTACCCACCCACCCAGCCCTCACATTCTCATCCTTCACTCACCCGAGGTCCTTCTTTGCCTCTTCGTCCTTCTCGAACCGGGCTGTGATGTCCACCCATATCGGCACCACACGTCTGGTGTGTAGGGGAATGGGGGGAATGGGGGTGATGCAGTGAGAGGGAAGAAAGAGGGAAAGAGAGAGGGGAAATGAAAATGGGAAGCGCAGAGGGGAAGTGAGAGAGGGGAAGTGAGTGAGGGGAAGTGAGAGAGGCGAAGCGAAGTGAGAAGGGGCAAATGGGAGACTTGAAGTGAGAGGGGAAGTGAGAGGGAAAATGAGAGAGGGTAAGTGAGAGAGGAGAAGAGGGAGAGACAGAGGAGTTGAGAGAGGAACATGGGGAAGGCGAGGTGAGAGGGGGGAAGAGGGAGAGAGGTACTGACGCAAGAGCAGCAGTGGGAGCGAGAACTGGTGCGTTGCCTGTCTGAGGAATGTCCTTTAGATCGCCGGGATAGTAGCTGCAAAGGGGGAGGGGTGGTTTTAGAAGGAAAATAAGAGAGGAGAGAATAGAGATGGTGTCAGGGTGAGGGGTGGTGGGGATGGTCAACTCAGGGCGGAGCAGAAAAGATTGAAACTGAGAGTAGCAGATTATGATGGGGTTGATGAAATGGGAGGGTAGGTGGGGATGATATTCAACACGCAGAACAGAGCAGAGCACCGCACAACACAGCACAGCACCAAAGACAGAGCAGAGAGTAATGAATCATGATGTGGTGGATGGAATACGAGGGTAGGTGGGGATGATGTCTAGAACGCAGAACAGAGCAGAGCACCGCACAGCACAGCACAGCACACATACCGAATCATGATGTGGTGGATGGAGGGGTAGGTAGGGATGATGTAGCCAAACGGAAAGCCCAGAGCGCGCCCTGTTGGGGGGATGGCGACGGGCCTGGCAGGAAGAAAAAAGACCAGAGGGCTGAGAGGGATGAGAAAGAAGACCAGAGAGCTCAGAACAGGATGGTAGGGTTTGTTTTACACTGGCAAAAGGAGGAGGAGGGAGGAGAACAGAGGTGTAACGTTTTTAGTATGACAAGAAGGTGGCCTTATTTTTGTGCTGTAAAATTGACATCATCCTCGTTATAAGCTCACTTGACATAAGCTCACTTGACAACGAGGGAATCCGTATCAGTCATGAATATCCACTCGCCCTTCACATCACAGTTGCCATCCCCGTTATAGGCTCACTTGACGAATACATAGCCAGTGCCTGCCTGCTGGATTTGCCATCCCTGCTATAAGCTCACTCACTTGACAAAAAGGTAGTCGGTCTCTATCATAAAAATCCAGTCGCCCTTCACATCCCCCGACTCCAGCCACTGCTGGATGGCGAAGGGGCGATCAGCCACTGGGTACTCGCACCTGGTGAGGGGAGGAGGGGAGAGGAGAGGAGAGGAGAGGAAAGGGGAGATGGAAGGTAAATCTAGTGCATATCTGAGTGGGCCCTCACACATTCCTCGACTCCAGCCACTGCTGGATGGCGAAGGGGCGATCAGCCACTGGGTACTCGCACCTGGTGAGGGGAGGAGGGGAGGGGAAGAGAGAGGTAAGAAGAGTGGTTAGGATACATACATGCATGCATATATGAATGGTCCTTCACATCACCCGGACTCCAGCCCCTGCTGCTGGATGGCATAGGGACGATCAGGCACTGGGTACTCGCACCTGGTGAGGGGAGGAGGGAGAAGGGGAGAATAGGAGAGGAGGTAAGAAAGGTGGTTAGGCTGCCCCTCCTGCTGTGGTTAGTTGTGATCGCATGCATGCATATATGAATGGTCCTTCACGTCACCCGGACTCCAGCCCCTGCTGGATGGCGAAGGGACGATCGGTCACTGGGTACTCGCACCTGGTGAGTGGAGGGGAGGGGAGGAGAGGTGAATGGGCCATGATAGATGGACAATAGAGAGAACATCGTGTCAGTTATCAGACTTGGGCTTGAGAGGCCGGAAAGGGGGAAGGGGGTAGCGCAGGAGGGGACTTTTGAGTTGACTCATGAGTTGACTTTTGAGTCGACTCAAAAGTCACCTGGTGAATGGGCCATGATAGATGGATAATAGAGAGAACATCGTGCCAGTTATCAGACTTGGGCTTGAGAGGCCGTACAGGGCGAAGGGGGGAGCGCAGGAGGGGAGCAGGAGAAGGGCGAGAGAAGAATGAGAGGAGTGAGATGGGAGCATGAGAAGCCAAGGGAAGATACCTCCTAAAAAGCAGGGTGGAAGTGCAACGTACCAGTCATCGCACTTGGGTCCCAGTAGCCGCACAGGCGGAAGGGAAGGGGAAGGGCGGGAGAGGAGTGAGAAAGGAGGGTGGAAATCGGAGAGAAAGGAGGTGCAGGAACGCAAGCAGGGTGGAAGTGCAACGTACCAGTCATCGCACTTGGGTTCCAGTGGTCGCACTCGCACCTGAGCGGTTCAGATCAGAGCAGAAGATGGGGCGCAGCGCAGGTTGGGGGAAAGGGCAGGAGAAACGGGAGGCGGAAGGGAAAAAGAATAGGAGGAGGAAGGACGAAGAGCAGAAGGGCGTGAGCTTCAATGAATCAGGCCGGAGAGGGGTGGAGTTCAGGGTTATTCAGGGTTATCACGTATGCCCTGGTATCTCTTACCCCCTGGGCACTCGCAGTGGGCACTCGCAGTGGGCACTCGCAGCCGGCATGAGGTGCATTCACTAACACATTTTTTAAAAAGCATGACTCACAGTGGGCACAAGTTCATTCACTAAAAGCACATTTTTTAGAAGCTATGACTCACAGTGGGGACGAGGTGCATTCACTCACAGTGGGGACGAGGTGCATTCACTCACAGTGGGCACGAGGTGCATTCACTCACAGTGGGGACGAGGTGCATTCACTCACAGTGGGCACGAGGTGCATTCACTCACAGTGGGCACGAGGTGCATTCACTCACAGTGGGCACGAGGTCCATTCACTCACAGTGGGCACGAGGTGCATTCACTCACAGTGGGCACGAGGTGCATTCACTCACAGTGGGCACGAGGTGCATTCACTCACAGTGGGCACGAGGTGCATTCACTCACAGTGGGCACGAGGTGCATTCACTCACAGTGGGCACGAGGTGCATTCACTCACAGTGGGCACGAGGTGCATTCACTCACCGTGGGCACGAGGTGCATTCACTCACCGTGGGCACGAGGTGCATTCACTCACCGTGGGCACGAGGTGCATTCACTCACCGTGGGCACGAGGTGCATTCACTCACAGTGGGCACGAGGTGCATTCACTCACCGTGGGCACGAGGTGCATGAGCTCGTCATCTTTGGTGCGATGCAGCACTCGGGTGAAGCAGGCTGTTCGTTCCTGACAGCACAAGGAGCATGCACTACATACAAGCACGAGGCGAGGACTGACTCACAGTGGGCACGAGATGCATTCACTATAAGCACATCCATATTCACTCACAGTGGGCCCGAGGTGCATGAGCTCGTCATCCTTGGTGCGGTGCAGCACGCGGGTGAAGAAGCGCAGGTTGGTAGAGGTGCACTCTCTACCACCACATACATAAGTCAATGCACGCTGAGCCATGACTCACAGTGGGAACGAGGTGCATGAGCTCGTCGTCCTTGGTGCGGTGCAGCACGCGGGTGAAGAAGCGCAGGTTGCTGCCTGGCTCAGATGCCACCTGCTCAGGGAGAAGGAAGGGAGACAGAGAGGGGAGCAGAGAGGGAGTGAGGGAGTGAAGAACCGCAGGTTGCTGCCTGGCTCAGATGCCACCTGCTCAGGGAGAAGGAAGAGAGGCAGAGAGGGGAGCAGAGAGGGAGTGAGGGAGTGAAGAACCGCAGGTTGCTGCCTACCTCAGATGCCACCTGCTCAGGGAGAAGGAAGAGAGGCAGAGAGGGGAGCAGAGAGGGGTGGAGGGAGGGACGCAGGGAGGGAGCGAGGAGGGAAGTGATGCAGGGAGCACTTGCATGAAGAAGCGCAGGTTGCTGCCTGCCTCAGATGCCACCTGCCCAGAGAGAAGGAAATGAGGCAGAGAGGACGGGAGGGAGAGAGGCAGGGAGGGAAGGTGACAGCACTCGTGTGAAGAAGCGCGGGTTGCTGCCTGCCTCAGATGCCACCTGAAATTCATGCGGGAACAAGTGTAACGCGAGCAGCATGTGTCTTTTTGGAGTTATAAAAGAACAGATTCATGTAAGCATTGCCATAACTCATATTCATTACATCAATGAACCGTAACTGGCTGATTGTTATGAGCACCCCCCTCTCCATCTCACCTTCTTGTACGTGTGGAACATGAGCAGCGTCGACCCTCCTTGCGTCACCTCCCTTCCTTGCGCCATGCCTATTGCCTACCCCCTCTCCCCTTCCGCCTCACCTTCTTGTACGTGTGGAACATGAGTAGCGTCTGCCAGTGCATGTACACATTGCCGTTTTTGCCAAAGGACGGCCATGAGCGCATTGCCGTTCTGAAAGCGATCTTGTGAATGCGTCGTGTTACAGTACTATGGCTATGGCATGTGACGCACCCTCTTGTAAGTGTGGAACATGAGCAGCGTTTGCCAGTTCATGTACGCATTGCCGTTACTCGTCACCATCGCATGAATGCTCCCCTTCTCCATCTCCCCAGGCACCACCACCGGCTTCGCCACCTCCTGCTGTGCCGCCGCCCCTCCTCTCACCAACCCACCTCCTTGCACCATAACCCCTGCTTTCCTTACACCAAATGCATCCCCCTCCCCGCTCCCCCTCCCCTCCTTCCGCCTCACCTTCTTGTACGTGTGGAACATCAGCAGCGTCTGCCAGTTCATGCCTGCATTGCCGTTCTTCTCAAAGGTAAACAGTTGGGCTGAAAAGGCCTTATTTCCATCAGCTACTCGTAGCTAGTACTGTCATGAGCACATCCCCTTCCGTCTCACCTTTTTGTACGTGTGGAACATGAGCAGCGTCTGCCAGTTCATGTAAGCATTGCCGTTCATGTCCTAGGATTGACCCGGTTCGGACAGAACAAACTCTTGCGTTTCCATGATGTACCTTTTTGTACGTGTGGAACATGAGCAGCGTCTGCCAGTTCATGTACGCATTGCCGTTACTCGTGACCATCGCATGAATGCTCCCCTTCTCCATCTCCCCAGGCACCACCGCCGGCTTCGCCACCTCCTGCTGTGCCGCCGCCCCTCCTCTCACCAACCCACCTCCTTGCCCAGTCGCTTGCCCCGGCCCCCCTGCTTGTCCCACACCCCCTTGCTGCTCCTGCTTCGCCCCTCCTCCTCCTCCTTCCAATCCTCCTTTCGTCCCCTCCGCATACCCCTTGGCGCGCCACTCCCGCTCATAGGCGCCAATCTCTGCATCGCTGCGCCCCATCTCCCGCAGCTCTCGCAGCGTGTACTTGGGCAGATGGTTAATGGCCTCGTTGACTTTCGACACCAGCACCTTCTGGGACTCCGATGCCTGCTGGGAGAGAGACGGAACAACAATGGGGTTGGGTGGGGTGGAAAGGGGTTGGGCCCGTCTCCCGCTGCTCTCTCAGCGTGTACTTGGGCAGGTGGTTAATGCCTGATAACGGGAAGAGAGGGGGGGAAAGATGGGGTTGGGTGGGGTGGGAAGGGGTTGGGCCCATCTCCCGCAGCTCCCGCAGCTCCCTCAGCGTGTACTTGGGCAGATGATGAATTGCTTCGTCCACCTCCCTATACCGCGACCCACCTCCCTCTACCGCGACCCACCTCCCTCTACCGCGACCCACCTTCCTCTACCGCGACCCACCTTCCTCTACCGTGACCCACCTTCCTCTACCGCGACCCACCTTCCTCCACAATGACCCACCTTTCCTTCTGGAGGTTCAGGCACTGGGTCCGGCAGCCCTCTGTTGGTGAACTGGTGTGACTAGTGCGTGAAACTCACGTTGAGACTTGTGTGCACTGCAGATAACACTCACCTCCCCCTCTGCGTTCTCACCTTCCCCTCTGGCGGTTCAGGCACTGGGTCTGGCAGCCCTCTGTCTGTGAACTTGCGCTTGTCAAACTCCCAGACCACGTTGCCACTCCAGTCCTGCAGCATGGGAGTGAAGGGAGGTGGGCAGATGCGAGCAGAAGGCAACAGAGGGGAGCAAGAAATGATGTCTGTGAACTTGCGCTTGTCAAACTCCCAGTCCACGTTGCCACTCCAGTCCTGGATTATTGGCATTGGGGGACACATGACAGATGGGTGTGCGACACGAGACAGGAACGTGACCTTGTCTGTCACGACTCAAACTCCCAGTGAAGAAGAACGTACGAGGAGAGAAAGGATGCATGGGAAAAAAAGGCTTACTTATGCATACTCAACACAGTTCTAAGAGCAAAAGAGGCGTGAGGCAGAGCGAGCTACAGAAGTGGCGAAAAGAGAGCTTCGGCAAGCGCGTGCTGCAGTGTGGCCCTGGTCGGGAGAAAGCTGTGTTGGAAGAGCAGCTTCGGGCGAGCCAGGAGTAGGTTCCGCAGCTGAGACTGGGGGTGCAGGAGGAGGGAGTGAGTGAGGGACTGGGGGGGACAGGAGGAGGAGAGAGTGAGTGAGAGTTTGGAACCTGCTCCTGCTCCTCACCAGACTCTTACTCACTCTTTCCTCCTCCTGTCCCCCCAGTCACTCACTCACTCCCTCTTCCTGCACCCCCAGTCCCAGCTCCGGAACCTACTCCTGGGTTGCCCGAAACTGCTCTCTTTTCGCCGCTTCTGTAGCTCGCTCTGTCTCATACCACTTTCCCTCCCCTGTAAGAACTACCATACTTCAACATGATGAAGTGCGTATTCAAATCGTCCCGCCCCAACTTAATCTGGCTGCCCCACGTGTAGTGCAACAGAGTTGCATCACCCGCCTCCTTGCCTTCTGAGTCGACTCAGAAGCCACCTAGTGAACCCATCTCACCCCAACCCAGCTACTCTAACCGCCCCCGCATAATCACCTAAATAACTCGTCCCACCACCTAGCCAGTCCCACCTTGATCTGACTGCCCCACGTGTAGTGCAGCAGAGCAGCATCACCCACCACCTTGTCAGCTGGAGGCTGTGGGTAGATTGAGGGAAAGGGAGCAAGGGGGCAAGAGAGTAGATGGAGGGACGAGGGAGAGGAGATTTTTTAGCCGACTTAAATACAAGATTGAGGGACAGGACGAATTGGGGGCAAGGGGGGAGACGGAGGGACAAGGTGGGGGGGGAGAGCATGAGCACAGCACTGCTGACCACCACATATCATCACATATTATCACATAACACCGTGTATCACCACACATCACAGCACATTACCACATAGCATAACACTTCGCTTATGATGGCATGCAAAATGAATGCATACCACCCACCCACACACATCACCGCACATCACCGCACACCGCCGCACACCACCGCACACCGCACATCACCTGGCTCATGATGGCATGTGGCATTGGCGGCAGGTCAATCTTCACCCCTGCAAGCGCAAGGGAGATGGAGAAAGCATACATCTCCCGCACCCACCTATGGCAGGGGAGAGGGAGGTGGTGGGGGAGAAGGGGAGAGGAGAGGGTAATTGGTGTGAACAGAAGAAGGGGAGGTGGGGGGGAGGGGGCGGAGAAGAGGGGGGAGTTGGTGTAAAATAGGAGAGGGGGTGCAGTTTGAGTGCGAGGGAAAAGGAGAAGGCATGATTCCCCCGCATCCACCTATGATGGTGGGGGATGAAGGGGGAGAGGGGAGAAGGATGAGGGGGGTGACAGAAGGAGAGAGGGAGATGAAGATGACACGGATTTACATATTTTGCGTTGCTGCATCTATCGCACCCAAATGTGCACTTTGCTCAAAACCGCACCAAACCTTTTTTTCTATCCTCACCAACCCTTGCAGAACCACTACCCCATGCCACCCACTCACTCACCCGAACCGCTCCTTGCTTTCCGTGTTCCCTTCGATGCCTGCTGTCACGTTCACCCATATGGGCACCACTTGCCTGGGATGGGTAGGCAGGGAGAGGGAGAAACGGAGCAAGGAAGTGGGCACAGAGAGAGGTCGGGAGACCTGTTAGCTGCTTTCCGTGTTCCCTTCGATGCCTGCTGTCACGTTCACCCATATGGGCACCACCCTCCTGGAGTAGCAAGCAGACAAGGAGTGCCAACAAGAAGAAGAACACGAATGTGATCATATGAGTATGAATGTGTTCATCCTCCTTATAGTGCCTGAACACGAGCCTGAAGAAGCACATGAAGAATATGAATATGATCTTATGAGAATGCATCTGAACATGAGCCTGAAGAAGCTCATGAACATGATTATGAATGCGAGATCAATCTGAATACAAATTTACACATGAGCGTAACTGCACCCAGCACTCACATCATGTCATCATATCGCATGATGGTCGGGGCATTGCCGGTCCTCGGGATGTCCTCGATTCGGTATGGCTCCGGGTAATACCTGTGATGTGTGTGAGAAACAAGCATGGTGCGCATTAAAAAGCGACAAATTTTTTCAGGCGCCTCAGAATTTGATACGACGACATGATGTGACCTCGATTCGATACGGCTCCGGGTAATACCTGCCGTAACAACAAGCGCTACATACACGAGTTACGAATAAGCGTTGCGCATGTAGCAGAAATATTTGCTCTCCGTATAATGCTCAGAAGAAGATAAGACGGAGTGTTAACGCACGGTAAACTAGTGTCATGGTGAGACAATATGACAAAGAGTCTTACGGTTGTGGATGTAAACGGTGCATCCACAACCGTGTACACGGTGCAAATATTTCGGCTGAATGGACAATAATACGGCTGAATGGACAATAATACGGCTGAATGGACCAACAATGAGAAATGAGATCATGGAAAACCGGAGGGATACAGCTCTTGCCTGCGCATGAAGGGACGGAGTTCAGGGTCTTGAGGCGCGATGTAGTCAAAGGGAAAACCCAGCGCCCTGCCTGCCGGCGGGATGGATACAGGCCTGCAGAGGAGAAAGAGAGTAAGGGGAAGTGGAGGGTAGGCAGTTAGGAAGGGAAAGAATGGATTGGCAGAAATCAGGGTGTTGAGGCGTGATGTAGTCAACGGGGAACCCCAGCGCCCTGCCTGCTGGGGGAAGATGTAGCTGTAGAACGCGAGGGAAGATGTGGTGTGTCTTTTGACCATGAAAGCAATGGTTTCTCTTTGGTATGCAATTTACACCCCCCCAATAAGCTCGCTGGGCAAAGATCCGTCTCTCGACCATGAAAACAGTGAATTGATTTGATATCGGTGATACAGATTCGCCATCCCCGTTATAAGCTCACTTGACAAAGATATAGTCAGTTTCGATCATGAAGATCCACTCGCCCTTCACGTCCCCCGACTCCAGCCACTGCTGGATGGCAAAGGGGCGGCTAGCTACAGGGTATTCGCACCACGTGTCACACGTGGGGTCCAGGGGCTTGACCCGAACCTGGGCAAGAAAGGAAGAAAGGGTAAGGGAAGCAGGCAGGTCGAGGAGGGATGGAATGAGAAGGGAAGGGGCGGGTTGCTACAGGGTACTCGCACCACGTGCCACACGTGGGGTCCAGAGGCTTGACTCGGACCTGGGGGAGGGGAGCAGGGTGGAGCGGAAAGAGAAGGTCAGAAGGGGCGGCTTGCCACGGGGTACTCGCACCACCACGTGTCACACGCGGGGTCCAGAGGCTTCCAGAGGAAGAAAGGGATGGAAGAGTCAGGGAAGCAGGCAGGTCGGCTTTTGAGGCGCCTAAAAAATCGTCTCAGAAGTTTGCTGCTACTCCCAACATGAACCTTGGACCTGAGGAAGAAAGGGATGGAAGAGTCAGGGAAGCAGGCAGGTCGGCAGAGGATGGAGTAAGAAGGGGAAGGCCTGCCACCTGTCACCTGTGAGGGGTACTCAACTCACTCACACCACGTGTCACACGCAGGCTCTAAAGGCCTGACAAGGGAGTTTTTGAGAAGTCTCAAAAACTCCCTGCAACGTCACACGCAGGCTCTAAAGGCCTGACAAGGGTGACAGGGCCTTCCCATGCATTCCACAAGGCCTGACAAGGGTGACAGGGCCTTCCCATGCATTCCACAAGGCCTGACAAGGGCGACAGGGCCTTCTCATGCATTCCACAAGGCCTGACAAGGGTGACAGGGCCTTCCCATGCATTCCACAAGGCCTGACAAGGGTGACAGGGCCTTCCCATGCATTCCACAAGGCCTGACAAGGGTGACAGGGCCTTCCCATGCATTCCACAAGGCCTGACAAGGGTGACAGGGCCGTCCCATGCATTCCACAAGGCCTGACAAGGGTGACAGGGCCTTCCCATGCATTCCACAAGGCCTGACAAGGGTGACAGGGCCTTCCCATGCATTCCACAAGGCCTGACAAGGGTGACAGGGCCTTCCCATGCATTCCACAAGGCCTGACAAGGGTGACAGGGCCTTCCATGCATTCCACAAGGCCTGACAAGGGTGACAGGGCCGTCCCATCCCATGCATTGCATTGCACAAGGCCTGACAAGGGTGACAGGGCCTTCCCATGCATTGCATTGCACAAGGCCTGACAAGGGTGACAGGGCCGTCCCATGCATTGCATTGCACAAGGCCTGAGTCAAACAAGGCCTGAGTCAAACAAGGCCTGAGTCAAACAAGGCCTGAGTCAAACAAGGCCTGAGTCAAACAAGGCCTGAGTCAAACAAGGCCTGAGTCAAACAAGGCCTGAGTCAAACAAGGCCTGAGTCAAACAAGGCCTGAGTCAAACAAGGCCTGAGTCAAACAAGGCCTGAGTCAAACCAGGATGCGAAAGAGAAAGGGAAGGATGGACGGGACACGGAGGTAAGCCTGAAAACAAATAGCAAGGTATTCGAATTGTATTCGATATTCGACCAAATGTCAAATACAAATCAAAGCGAGTTGCCTTTCCCTATTCGACATTATTCGGTTTTCCAAACTCGCAAATATAAATACTCGGTTTCCTTAACTCGAATATTCGAACAAGTATTCGTATTTCAATCGGGTGTGCAACATACCTCCCCATTCTTGCGTTTTGAGGGCGTTTGAGCGGATAGACGGCAGTCACTGTGAGGCCCATAGTTAAACAACTATTCAATAAAATCATACAAATACCGTACCTAGCATCTTGAAAAGGGAAGCTTGAACCTTGGTGGGGTTGCACGAACTAAAGTACAGGTTTGTTTCCTAGAACACACAATCCAGGGTGGTAACACCCATACTCGAGTCGATTTGTATTCGACTCGTAATCGAGCGCATTCGACTCGAATTCGTATTTGACTTTCAGCCACTACTCGATCAAATACAAATCGCACTAGATATTCGACCAATATTCGAATACATAACTCGTATTCGTATTCGTATTCGTATTTACACCCTTACACGGAGGCATGGGCAGGATGTGGAAGGGTAGACACGTGGACATCACATGCATGAGTGCAGTGCAGTGCAGTGCAGTGCAGTGCAGTGCAGTGCAGTGCAGTGCAGTGCAGTATCTGTCAAGTTGTCAGCCAGTGTAGCATGTGCCGTGCCTGCCGTGTGCAATGTTACCTGCTCTGCCTGCCAGGTATAAACTGCACATGTCACCCACCCCCGTGTTCAATCACCGATGCACTACTACTGTGGGCATCACATCACATCACATCACATCACATCACATCACATCACATCACATCACATCGATCAGTGCGTCGTCTGTTGCCCGGTGCACCACAAGCCATGCATTCCGATGTACCAGGCGAAACCGCATTTCATCCCTCTCCACCCCATCTTACCGTCGGCATGACATCCATAAGAGCGTCGTCTGTCGAGCGGTGCAGCACGCGAGTGAAGTGCTTCATGTCACTGCCGGGCTGACCTGCGACCTGATGGGGTCGAGATGTTGGGGGAGAGGGCGGAAAACGCATATAAGAGAGCCCCCCCTCAACCCTGCCCCTACTCCTGTTTCTTGTTGCAGCACTCCAAGTGCTTCATGTCACTGCCTGGCAGAGCCGCTCCCTGATGGGGTGGGGTGGGACGGAAGGAGGAGGACCGGGAGGAGAGAGGGTGGAGAGACGACAGGGGGGAGGGAGGAGGGAGGGCGGATAAAGAGACGACAGGGGAGAGGGAGGAGAAAGCACACAACAGACCAGGCCACCTATCGCCCCTGCCCCTCCTCCTGTTGCCCGGTGCAGCATTCGAGTGAAGTGCTTCAAGTCACTGCAAGGGAGACCCGCCACCTGATGGGGTTGGTTGGCGAGGGGCGGTAGGAGAAGGAAAGGGGGGGTGGGGGGTTTAAGGGCGAAGGCAGTGGGAGAAGACAGACAGGAAGACTCAGAAGTCACCAAATCACCAATTCACCTGCAGATAAGTGTAGTGCATGATCCGCGATTGCCAGTTCAAATATAAGAAGACTCGTTATAGCCTCTAATCCGCCTCACAAGTCACTGACTAACCTGCAGGTACGTGTAGTACATGATCCACGACTGCCAGTTCATATATAAGGAGACTCGCTATAGCCTCTAATCCGCCTCACAAGTCACTGACTAACCTGCAGGTACGTGTAGTACATGATCCGCGATTGCCAGTTCATATAAGGCGACCCGTTACTAGTCAGCATCACGTGAATCGCATTTTCCCGCCCGCCTTTCGCCCCCCCTCCCTTACCACCCTCCCCTCCTCCTTTCGTTTCCCTTGCTCCTTCCCCTCGTGCATTGCTGCTCCCTCTAGTGCCGCTGCTGCTGCTGCTGCCCGTATGGGAGCCTCGCAACAGACGAACGTCGTCAAACGAGCCACGCCTGGGGAGAACGGAGCGAGGGGAACAGGGAGAGGAGGGAGCAGACAGGAAAGCGAATGGGGTAAGCGCGTGCATTGCTGCTCCCCCTGCTGCTGCCCCTGCTGCTGCCCATGCTGCTGCTGCCACTATGGGAGCCTCGCAAGAAGCGAACGCCGTCGAGCGAGCCACGCCTGGGGAACACGGAGCGGGGGAAAGGGATAGAGGGAGAAGGCAGGGAAGCGAATGGGGTAAACGCGTGCGCTGCTGCTCCAACTGCTGCTGCTGCCAGTACGGGAGCCTCGCAACAAGCTTACGCGGCCGAACGAACCACGCTTGGGTACCAACACGGAGCGAGGAGGCGGGAGGAGAGGGGCATGGTTCCGGGAAGTAACACTTTGGCCGAATAGGGACAGACTTTGCTAACCACCTGTGACAATTCTGGCCACCTGTTCACTAGATTGAAGGATCACCTTAAAGCCTACCTTCTCGCCTTCCCACGCAGGCACACGCAGACGCACTAGCTTCTACCGTCTGGCCGTCAAACCACACCAGCTAGCCGTCTAGGCGCACAAGCAGCAATAGCTGCACGACTGGCCGTCTAACCGTCTAGCCGCATTAGCCGTTTGGCTGTCTGGCCGTCCAGGCGTTGAGCCGTTCATTCGCGCACCTTCCGATGGCATGCAGACGTCGGTAGTGCTCGCGCGGGCGGGAGCAGAAGCTGATAATGAAGAGGCCAACAACGAGTATGATGATCGCTCGCGTCGTCGGCCCGTGCGAGACTTGCCGGCGAAGGCCTCTCATGGCTGGCGACGACTCTTAACGAATCTCAATTACGCTGATTATTGAGATTCGTTAATTGTTCAGTGACCTACGCGGATTATCAGTGAATCCTACACCAGGACAATTGACTGAGGGAGGATGGACTGGAGATGTGAGGGTCTCGAGAACCGAGCTGTACCCAAAGGTAACGTTTGAAAACCATCTCAAAACTACAGAACCTGGCTTCGCCTTGCGTGTCCCCCTCGGGAACACCAAAACACAGGTGGGATCGGGTTGGGTGTGTTCTGGGATGATGATGTTCGATATTGAAAGTGCGGTTCAGGCCGTACAGGTCTGATCGTTGTGTACCGGCAGAACAGTGAAAATGACACGCATCTCATATGATATTACAGTTTACAACCAGAAACATGCAATCTTCATGCTAAAAAGGGAAGTCACACTAGCGTCGGATCTGAAAACTTTCCCACAGTCGCACCAGCGGAAGACTCATCCAGATATCCTACCATAAATTCACGCCCATAAGAACTCACGAGCAAGTTCATCTGCTAACATTTTCATTTGCAAGTTCATCCCACCTTCCCCTCCTCCAACCCACCCTCCCCAGCAGCAGCAGCAGCAGCAGCTTACTCACACCCAATCTTACCTCCAATCAACCTACTCGTTACCTCCATTCTCCACCCCTCTTCCCCGCACGAGCAATCAACGGTCCCAAATCAACCGTGGCGGGCCCTCTTGTCCCCCTCCTCTTATCATCCCCAGCAGCAGCAACATCACACAGCCGAGCCAGCACTTCCGGAAAAGGCTCGTCAATTGCTGTCAGCTGTAGCTGCTGCCGCTGCACCACGAGAATGCGATGGCCTGCTTCCTTGGCACTTGAGTAGAGCTCCTGAAATGGGCGGAGGAAGAGGGGTAAACGAATGTAGAAGAGACAGAGGGAACAGAGGGGATGGGACGATGGGAAGGAGTGAGAGAGGCAACCTAAGGCTGGTCAAAGGCTGTAACCTGCAGCTGGTCAAAGGCTGTTACCTGCAGCTCGTCAAAGGCTGTTACCTGCAGCCGGTCTAAGACTGTTACCTGCAGCTGGTCAAAGGCTGTTACCTGCAGCTGGTCAAAGGCTGCTACCTGTAGCTGCTGCCGCTGCATCACGAGAATGCAATGACACGCTTCCCTGCCCTTTGATTGAAAAGAGCTCCAGAGATGGAGAGTGAAACCCAAACGCTCCCAAGGTGAGTGAAACCCAAACGCTCCCAAGGTGAGTGAAACCCAAACGCTCCCAAGGTGAGTGAAACCCAAACGCTCCCAAGGTGAGTGAAACCCAAACGCTCCCAAGGTGAGTGAAACCCAAACGCTCCAGAGCTAACACCCAGGCAGTTACGCTGTCACTCACCTTGGGAGCGAGTTGACCTTTGAGTTGACTCACAAGTCAACTCGCTCCAAAGTCAGCGCGACTCAAAAGTCAACTCGCTCCAAAGTCAACTCGACTCAGAAGTCAACTCGTTCCAAAGTCAACTCGACGCAAAAGTCAACTCGCTCCAAAGTCAACTCGACTCAAAAGTCAACTCGCTCCACAGGTAACACCCAGGCAGTTGCTCTGTCACTCACCTTGGGAGCACATGGAACTGCTTTCACCTCCACAGCCACACCAGCAGCTGCCTCAATTCTCTCCTCCTCCTCATCACCCCCCTCCTCCTCTCCTTCCAGCTCCTCTGGGTGTGCCAGCAGCCACACCCTCAGCACCTCACTGAACCGCGCTGCATCCACCACGTCCTCAAACCCCACCACTATCCATGCGTCCTCTGCTACTGCTGCTGCTCCAGCTGTCCCACCAGTATCCCCGTTATAAACACCCTCAGTAGAGTAGGCAGCAGCAGAGCCCCAATCAGGGGGGAGCTGGAAGGAGTAAGGCACCCTCTGCACTCGCTGCCCCTCACTGCTGGTGCCGTGACTGCTACTACTCCATCTCATAATCATCACAACCTGAAAAACGAGAAACAAACGGGGGGGTGAGGGAATATGGAAGGAGTAAGGCACCCTCTGCACTCGCTGCCCCTCACTGCGGGTGCCAGTGCCACCGCCTCAAGAAGCGGGCTGGAAGGAGTAAGGCACCCTCTGCACTCGCTGCCTGCCCCTCACTGCCACTGCCAGCGCCGTACAGCAAGGGTTTGGGAAGAAAGGAGAGAAAGCGGGCTATTTTTTAGGTTTAACGGCTGCAACCAAACGTGAGAATCTATGAATATGAACAGCTTTTGAGCCGCCTCAAAAGTCAAGTCGACTTTGAGAATTTGAACGGGATAGGGACAATAATGCAAAACTGATAAACATTCCTAAAAATACAGAACAGATCCATCCACTCACCCACACAGCCTGCAGGTCAAGCCACCACAGTCGGTCCAGGTCCGGCCGGACCACCCCTCTCCGCCGAGCCTCCTCCTCCTCCGCATCCCGAGCCTGCTCCAAATACTTCTCCGCCACAGCTTCCGCGCCAAACCTCTCTTTCTCCTCCCGAACCTTCTCGAGAAAACTTTTCACTGCTGCCCGCTGCTTCGGGTCGCCCCCTTCCCTCCCTGCCGCTACAACCTGTGAGAGAGTCGGGGCAGAATTAATTTCTTCCTCTGAAAGCCACCTGGGAAGGTCTTTTCCTAGCTGCTGAATCACCTCCTTCACATCCGGATCTCTCTCCTCTTCATACCTTGCTCTTATATCCTCTGCCCACTGCTTTGTGTTGCTCCACCCCTCTTCACCGCTCCCAATCGCTCCACCTGCCCTCCCTCCCTGTTTCTCTTCCAGTGACCAAGACTGGCGCCCATTCATGCCTTTACTAGAGCTCACCACCACACTCTCTCCTCCTTCCCATCCCCCACTCCCACTACTCACCACCACACTCTCTCCCCCTTCCCCTCTCCCACTCCCACTGCTCACCACCACACTCTCCTCTACCTCCCCTCCCCCACACCCACTACTCACCACCACACTCTCCCCTCCCTCCCACTCTCCTCCCTCACTCCCACCACCCACAGCCGTACTCTCTCTCTCCCTCGCACCCCCATCATCAACGAACGTGTCCCCATCAGCAGCATTCACATACTGCGATACTGCCAGCACCAGCAGCTCGTCTGTAGTCCCATCGGTTGCTACAGGCCCACTGGTTGCTGTGCTGCCGTTAGCTTCTGTTGCTGTGCCAATGCCTGCTGCTGGTGCCATAGTGTCGACACTGCTGCCCTCCTTTCTCACCGTGCTATCCCTTTCCCTCATCCGCGGCACCACCATTTCCATCGGGTCGCTCACCGAAATACCATCTGCACGGGGGGAGGGAGAGTGGATGGGAAATGGGGTGTCTAGATGGGGACTGATAATTGCCTCTCTCCCCGCCATCCCCCTTCTCGCATCCGCGGCACCACCACTTCCATTGGGTCGGCCACAGAGATGAAGTCTGCCAGGGGGAAGTGGAATGGGGGGAGATAGGGAGAATGGGGAGAATGGGGAGAATGGGGAGAATGGGGAGAATGGGGAGAATGGGGAGAGGATACAGTGTGTTCCCCCCATTCTCCCCATTCCCCCCATTCCCCCCATTCTCCCCATTCCCCCCATTCCCCCCATTCTCCCCACTCTCCCCACTCTCCCCATTCTCCCCACTCTCCCCATTCCCCCCATTCCCCCCATTCTCCCCATTCTCCCCACTCTCCCCATTCTCCCCAACTCTGGATAGCCCCACAGCACCTTCCTCTCAGAGCAACGCACCTTGACGACTTTTGAGGCGCCTCAAAAATGATGCACCGTACTGCAGATTCTCCACCAACTCAGACACTCCATCCTCCTTATAGCCATCCCCCTTACTGCCATTCCCATTATCCTCCTCCCCATACAGCCGGTTGAGCAAGTCGAAAAAACCTCTCCTGCTCCTCCTGCGTCAGCCCGTGCATCGAGTCCCGCCCCACCTCCTACAATCTCACCTTCACATTCCCCCCCTTTCCCCCGTGCCCATCCCACGGGGCACAGCCACTCACCTCGACCGTAGCTCAGATTCTCCACCAGCTCCGACACCCCGTCTCCCTTCTCCTGCTGCTTCCCGGCCCCCTTAGTCGCATCCTCCTCCCCATACAGCCTATTCAGCGCGTCAAAGAACGTCGCCTGCTCCTCCTGAGTCAGCCCGTGCATCGAGTCCCTCCCGCCTTCATCGTTCAGCATCACCCGCGCCACCAGCGTCACCAGAGAGTCGTCTTCTACCCACCATGCAGCCCCTGCCCCACCACTCGCAGTACCAGCACCAGACGCCCCAGCAGCAGCAGCAGCAGCTGCTGCCATTGCTCGCTGTCTCACCCTTCTCTTTGCATCCTCCAACTCCCACTGCTGCCTCTCTGCCTGCACCTGCTGCTGCCTGTCTGCTCCCATTTGCTGGTCACTTTCCCTCTGCCCCTCCTCTACCCTCTCACCCACGTCCTCCCCTTCTCCCAAAGCTGCTGCTTCACCTCTTGTTGCTGCAGCAGCCGCTGCTATTTCTGCCGCTCCTGCCTTGCCAGAAGAGGTGCTTCCTGCTACAGCTGAACTCGTTACAGAGTCACCCTTTACAGTAGCGCCCTCTACAGTGTCACTTGCTACAGTGCCTCTGGGCAGCGATGTAATCACTCTTACTCTGCGCCTCCTCCTGCCTTCGCCTGCTCCTTCTGCTACTCCTGCTGCTGCTGCTGCTCCTGCCCCTGCTCCTTCTGCTGCCCCTGCCCCTGCCGCTGTTGCTGTTGCCCCTGCTGCGGCTGGTGTATCGTCAGCACTGGCAGCACCAGCAGCAGGAGTAGCAGCAGCAGCAGCAGCGACGTCAGGAGGGGAAGACGGGAGAGAGGTGATGATTCTGGCTCGTGCTCTTCTTTCACTCTTGCTCACGCCACCGCTACTGCCGCCACTTGCTGCTGCTGCTTCTGAAGCTGTTGCCAGTTCTGTTGCTCCTGCTGCCCCCCCTGGTGTGACCCCTCCTGCTATCCCTGCCCCTACCACTGCCGCTGTTGCTGCTGCCGCTGCTGCTGCCCCTGTTGCAGCTGCCGCTGTTGCTGCTGCTGCTGTATCTCCCCCAATCGCCGCACTAAACCCCGCCGCATCCCCTCCCGCTCCTCCCACCTTCCCACCCAGCACAACCGTGCACGCCTCCTCCCACACCGCATCCAACACCTGCTGAGTCACCACCTCGCCCCGCCTCCTTCTCTCCACTAGCAGCCTCTGCATCTCAGCACTCACCTTCCGCGCTCTCTCCTTCTCCTCCCTCTCCTCCCTCTCCTGCCGCCTCACCAGGTCTGCACGCCTGCGAATCTCAGCCATTGCTGCCTGTCGCCTCTGCTCCTCTGCGTTCCCCTCCTGCTGCTCCTTCTGCTCCTGCTGCTCCTGCTGCTCCTCTCCCTTCTCTCCCTGCTCTCCCTCCTCTCCCTTCGCGCCTTTCTCGCCTACCTCTCCCTTCTTCCCTACTTCTCCCTCACTCTCCTCCCTCCGCTCCCTCACCTCTGCACTAATATCCACCACAGCACCCCCTCTCTCGTCCCCCCACGCCCCCTCTCCCCTTCCCCTGATCCCCACACCCTCCCAATCCCCCCCTACTAGCACATCCACTTTCCCTCCTCTCTCCCCCCCAGCCACCCCTTTCACCTTCCCGATAATCCCCCTCACCTCCTTCGTCCCTTCCTCATAAACCCCGAACCCCGCTTCTCCCCTTCCCCTCCCGTCCTCCCAATCCCTCTCTTCGCCCCCATTGATCCCTCCCAACTCCTCTCCACCACTCTCAACCGCCTCCCCTTCCGCCCATTTCCCCTTGATTCTCTCTGCTCTCTCTCGCTCCATCCTCTCCTGCTCGGCTCTCCTCCTCCACCCTTCCACCTTCTTCTCTTTCATCTTCTTCCTCTCCCACTCCTCCCAACTTATCCCACCCTCTTTATTATCAGACTCCGTTCTCGTTACAAGCACTTTCCCCTGCTCCTGCAACCCCTCTTTCCTTTTCTCTGCCTTGCCGCCCGCTCGTCCTCCGACCCATGCCACTGTAGCAGCAGTAACGACAAAACCAGCTGCCCACAGCCATCCTCCAGCTGGCAACGGAGAATTCCAGATCTCGCCCCCTCTCGGCCAAGCAACTCCTCCTGCTTGCGTCGCGACCTCAGCCACTAACCCTTCGCCACGTGGCGCCTCTTGACTGCGTTGACTCCCTTGACTCAACAAGGCAGCGGAAGCTTCGGACGGCTCCACAGGAGCAGTGACAGACGCAAGCGAGGAAGCTTCCTGAATGGCCTCAGTCGAAGCAGTAGGAAGGACGGAGGAGTTGAGAGGGATCGAGTTAAGGGGAGGGAAAGGGGCGGGGGCAGAGGCGGAGGCAGAGGCGGAGGCAGAGGCGGAGGTGGAAACAGGGGGGGAAGCGGAGACAACGGCGGAAGCGGATACAGGGGCGGAGGCGGAGGCAGGGGCGGAAGCGGAAACAGAGGCGGAGGCAGTCGGTGAAGCGGAGACAGGGAGGGACTGCTTAGGAACGGGCGCAGCAGCAGGAGGAGCAGGAGCGGCAGGAGCGGCAGGAGCGGTTGTAGCAGCAGGAGCGGTTGTAGCAGCAGGGACGGCTGTAGCAGCAGGGACGGCTGTAGCAGCAGGGACGGCTGTAGCAGCAGGGACGGCAGCCGTCTTTACCGCGCCCGTCTTCCCCTTCCCCCCTTCCCCGTGCAGCCGTCGCAGCCGCCACTGCCCCCCCCGGCCCTTCTTGTCGCGCTGCCACTCGCCATCGCGCGGACGGCTCGAGCCGCCGTTACGGCCGCTTCGACCGCTTTGCGCGTCGCTCTTTAAGTCGGACTTCGCGTCGCGTCGTAAGCCCGAAGGTGCGCTGCTGCTTCCGCCGCTTCCACGAGCCGCGGTGCCCGCGCCGCCTGTGACTCTAGACTCGTCATTCCGCGCCGCGCGTGTGACAGTAACGAGGGATGATCGGCCAGACCGCTTCCTGGGATTGCGGAGATTAAGGGCCAAAGATCCGGTATGTGGACCAATAGAAAATATACTCGATCGGCGGGAGGTAAGAATGCTTGAAGCGAGCTCTTTCCGCGGCCCGCGGTTCGACCCGAAGCCGCGTGAGGGGTGACGTGGCAGGGCTCCTAAAGCCGACGACTTTGTCGATCGCGACAATCGTGATAATGAGAAGGGTGTCGAGGCGACCGCGGAAAGGCTAAGCGAGGAGGAGTGGAGCAGAAGAGCCATATTTGAGTCACTTCTGAGAATATTTAAAAGCTGCCTTGTCTCCCAACGGCTAGTTTTTCTTTTCAGTTCAGATCGGAATCAGAACGACAAATCGAAACGAGAGGGAACAAGAGAACAATGGGGGGAGAGTCTAGACTCTAGACTTTCTACGATATTTTTACGCCTAAATCTGTAAAGGAGGCGACGACACCCGATCACCAGAAATCTGCCAAGAAGTCTCGAAGCGATGAGAATTAGAAAAGGATCGCTGACGTTTCCTTTAACCGAACGGGATAGACGGAATAGTCATAAAAAAACGCTCGCGGCGGTGCGTCGAATCGAGGGAATGGCGGTCGCAGGGATCACCAAAAGCGATTATCTCTCTCGTCCGGTTGCTGTGCTATCCCCGTGCCAGTAATGGCTGCAAATGGGATAGCAGACATCACTCTCGGAGAGGACTCCCATTCCATTCCATTGGTCCCACCACGATTCATGGTGCGGTGCAGTGCACCTCGGTCAAGGAGCGGTCAAGACGAACGTTTGAAAGTGAATTGGTCTGTGTGACCGATATAAAAAGGTTTCTGCTACACTGCCAGAATTTCCCTTCTAGGTACTGAATCCTGATAGTCTTAGACTTAAAGCTGCGGTCTACATACTAAAAGGTATTTTTGGGGGGCATTTCGGGTGCATACACTAGGAAGAATGCTGATTGGGGAACGAAACGACAATTTTCCAGAAATGAGGGAGCGAATGTTTCAAACAGAACTGGCGAATCCCGCCAGTTTCGTGAAAGGTTTGGTTGGGGTGTAAATATTTCGGGAGGAGAGATTTCGCCACGAAGCGCAACCAATCCGGGTTGGGGAGGTGATTGGCGGGAAAAATAGAAGCCAATCCTGTTTCGCCCAATTTTCAGAGGTGAGGTTGAGTTGTCACAAAGCAGTAACTGCGCCTCGCCACTCAAGGTTGGAGCGAAGCTAGGTGCTACCTTGTTTTCAAGTTACAAACCTAGAGCTCCCGCAGGAAGTATGTAGGCGACAGCTTTAATTATTCAGGTCAGAATCATGGGTCCTTAATCACGTTTTGTCATTTGAATCACGAAAGTTGAGATGTGAACCTTTATGAGAAGGCATTCCTGTACGCTACAAGAGCCGACTCTACCGAGTACGAAGTCGAAGAGTCAGAAGAGTCGAAGCGACACCAGCAACCGTAAGATCGAGACTAATGTATCTCAGAATCTTAAGCAAGGGTAGGCTTAGAAGCCATAGTGTAGGTGCCTAGGTGATCGAGTTCGAGAGGGTTAGGAAACTATCGAGAGATTTTTGAAAGAGAAGGGGTTTCACTAGCAAGAGTTGGGACACAAGTACAATGCCCTAAATTGGGTTGTACTCATTACAGAGTACCCCACTGCAGGCTAGACAGCAAATATATTCTGACACACCCCCATAGCCAAAGTGGGGTGTAATCAGCAGAGCAGGCAAAGCAGTACAAGCTCAGGGTGGATCACAATGTCACCACGCATTCTGAGCACAAGTTCAAGAAGCAATAGTTAAAGTGCACAATTATCAGCAAAGCTAGTGGTGGTCACAACGGGCAAGTGAGGAGGAGGAGGGAGAGTGAGAGGAGAGGAGATAGAAGGCGGCGGCTGAAGCTGCAGACACACGGGCAACAGGAGTGGCGAGCACAGTGGCTACCGGACTAAGCGCCCGGACTACAGGAGTAACAGACCCCGCGGCTCAAGTAGCGGCAAACGGGCAACGGACCCACAGGCGACTGACGCAGCGACACGCTCACTGGGCTACCGGACTAAGCGCCCGGACTACAGGTGCTGCGGACAACAAGCTGGCAGCCTCCACTCAACCTCCCGCAAACAGTCCCACCCCCCCGACACACACCCGCTGCTATACCGCTAGTTCCACTCCCACCCACCCCCCTTAAACCCTAAACCCAAGACTCCCACACAACCACCCCCCTCAGCGAGAGCTGTAGCAGTGGGAGACGAAGGAGGAGGAGGAGGAGGGGACGGCACGCACAACCGACACCCCCACAACGAGCACCCCCACACTCACCCCCCACGGCTGCACCTGGTCCATGAGCGGCTGCTGCAGGGGCCACGGGCAGCTGCTGTTGGTGCGGCTGCTCCAGTGGCTGCTGCTGCTGGGGCTGCTGCTCCAGGGGCTGCTGCTGGGGCGGCTCCAGGGGCTGATGCTGGGGCGGCTGCTCCTGGAGCTGCTGCTGCTGCTGCGGTGGCTCCTCCAGGGGCTGCTGCTGGGGCGGCTGCTGCTGCTCCAGGGGCTGCTGCAGCTTGGGTGGCCGCCCAAGAGGCGGCTGCTGCTGGGGCGGCTGCTCTAGTGGCTGCGGCTGGGGCGGCTGGTCCCGGGGCTGTTGCTGCTGGGGCAGCTGCTCCCGGGGCTGCTGCTGCTGGGGCGGCTCCAGGGGCTGCTGCTGGGGCGGCTGCTCCCAGGGCTGCCGCTGCTGCTGCTGCTCCAGGGGCTGCTGCTCCCGGGGCTGCTGCTGCTGCGGTGGCTCCTCCAGGGGCTGCGGCTGGGGCGGCTGCTCCCTGGGCTGCTGCTGCTGGGGCGGCTCCAGGGGCTGCTGCTGCTGGGGTGGCCGCTCCAGAGGGAGTTGCTGCTGGGGCGGCTCCAGGGGCTGCTGCTGCTGGGGTGGCCGCTCCAGAGGCAGCTGCTGCTGGGGTGGCCGCTCCAGAGGCAGCTGCTGTCGGGGCGGCTGCTCCCGGGGCTGCTGGTGGGGCGGCTGCTCCCGGGGCTGCTGCTCCCGGGGCTGCTGCTGCTGGGGCGGCTGCTCCCGGGGATGCTGCTGGTGGGGCGGCCGCTCCAGGGGGTGCAGCTGCTGGGGCGGCTGCTCCTGGGGCTGCTGCAGCGGAAAGTAGGAGGTAGGGGAGGTGAAGGGCGCGGCCCCCATTGTGCCCTGAAGGGCGACGTGCTGGGGAGCCGCGCCGGTCCCCGAATGTGCCTCGACGGGCAACAAGAGGGGACCGCGCGCAGGCCCCTAAGGTGCCGCGATGAGGTAACGGGAGGGGCCGGCGCGCGGGCCCCGAAAGTGCCGCGACGAGGCGACGGGAGGGACCTGTGTGCGGGCCCCCAAAACGCCGCGACGAGGCGACGGTCAGGGCCAGCGCGCGGGCCCCCAAGACGCCGCGACGAGGTAGGTACCCGCCGCGCGCTTCGGGGCGCACGGCGGGCAGAAAACCGCCACGCGCCCCGAGCGCGTGGCGGGAAGAAAAATAGGTGGTCGCGCGCCACGGGGCGCACGACACACAATAGGGCAGCGGAATCGAGTGGGCCCACAGGCCAGGAGCGTTAAGCTCTAATACCATCTCAGAATCTTAAGCAAGGGTAGGCTTAGAAGCCATAGTGTAGGTGCCTAGGTGATCGAGTTCGAGAGGGTTAGGAAAGTATCGAGAGATTTTTGAAAGAGAAGGGGTTTCACTAGCAAGAGTTGGGATACAAGTACAATGCCCTAAATTGGGTTGTACTCATTACAGAGTACCCCACTGCAGGCTAGACAGCAAATATATTCTGACAATGTAGGCATAAACATTCCAGGTGAAAATGGCGGAAACAGGTTTGATACGGGTTCCCAGGTCGCACGGTTTGAACTCGTTGTGATAAGGAAATGTACCCCTTATAGTACATGGCTAGCTATGACATTTCGTTTTCCCTTTTTATTTCCTATATAACTCGATGCATACAAACTTGATACGAGGTGGCCCGATATGAGGCCGTAGAAATACGCTCTTATTCTCTCAGTCATTTACATTCACTTTGACCTGAGGTCAACACTTCCGCTGCAGCAAACTACATGCGATCAACCCAAAGCCGATCCATGGCTATGTCCTGTTTGGGATTATAATATGGTAGCAATGCAACTCAAGGACTCTTTGCACCACTGTTGTAAACTTCGCAAGACCGAAGCTGATAAGCGGTACACACTCCCAAGCCAAGATGGCCAGAGGATCCGGAGGCCAAGTTTTTTTTTTTTTTTTTTTTTTTTTGTAATTGAAGTATACATCAAAGACAATGCATACAACAATAGCAGTCGTAACTGAGCGTGAGGGCAGACACTTTGCGCTGCCCAGCTGAATGACTAGGGCGGTAAGTAAGCCCTCCTTGGCCTGTTCCAGATTGCTACAAAGCCAGGCGTCCAAGTCAATTTTTTGTCGCCTGCCACCCTGATCCTTGACAACATCTTTTGTTCGGCCTCAAACACGCCTTTGACTCTCTTGTGCGTCCCCGACTTGCTCAGGTTCAAACATTTTGCCCCCGTTATGTCAAATATATGCATATCATTATCTAGGCTATATTGGGGATAGCCTTAGGGGGTACACAAAACTTTCTCGATACCCTAGTCTTGTACCCAATCCTTCACCTAACCTACTGATACTTGCCTTAGTTCCTAACACGTTACTCTCGTGTACACCCTCGCATGCAGCCTGAAAGCTGTACCAATCCTTTTGAGCATCCGACGTGCCCTGAACTTCTGCCTAGCTTATATTACAATGCTCCACCCAAAGTTGGCGGAACGTGATGGCGGTTAGTGTGGCTTCTGGAAAGTCCGAAGCAGTCCCAGTTTCCTGGAACAGTAAATCACCCAGCGAGGCAGGCGCTCTCGTGGGGTTAAGCATGTGCAGGGCACGACGGAGCCTAGACACCACAGGCTGAATTACCGGGCAACTGAAAAGGTAGTGGTTATAGGTCTCCGTCACCCCTGACATTTTGGGTCGCTGCTTAGGAAATCCACCCTCTCCCCAACCTGCAGATATAGGTTGTGAATCCGTGTGAGAACGTCGCGCGGTCAGCTCAGGATAACCAACGAATTCCGGGTATGGATGATGCGTTCCCAGTCTATCCTCCCGCTCCACCTGCCAGACCACTTAGCCTGCTTCACCAAGACTGCCTCGAGTTTGGCCCATGTCTCCCTCAGCTGCCTCAGAAGAGCCAACTGCCCGTTCGAAAAAAAACCGCCGAGCGGAAGATTGTCCCAGCTGCATGTCCCCCTCCGACAGGCACACCGGCGGAAATAGGCGCCTCCCCTTCTTCTTCCTCCCGCCCCTTGCATGGGGCTAAAAGGGTTTTCCAGTCATTCGGCGCTGCCTCATAGGCCTTGAGAGCCAGCCGAGCCGAGTCCCTGCTGCGCAGCTCCTTCTCCAGTGTGTCAATGCCTTTAATCTCAGCAGCACCGTCATGCGTGGTAGCACATAGATCCCCCAGTCATGTTTCCCACCAACCTTTCACCTCCTTTTGCCCTCTAATTGGGCTCGTCTCGTTCATCCGGAGGTCAAGCAAATGTCAAGACATATTTGTATATTCTTGGTTTTGCTAGGCTGCAGTGAGATGCTCAGTAAAAAGTACAACCCTAGTTAGGGTTTCATACTTGTATCTCCTTGTTGCTAGTAATTCACCATTCTTGCACGTTATTTAGACATGGTTTCAGAGCAGGTTCATCCGTAGGACACTCCGTTGGGGCCCACCACTAG